CTCATAACCTAATGGTATTCATTCAATTAGTGGTTAACTTTATGCCAACTTATCATGGATGCGATATTTTGGCGAATGCGTCGATCACACAACTTTGACATTTGCTTAGAAATTTTTTTTTGAAGAGAAATACGTCGATACGCATTCAAATTATTGTATTGTCATCGGTCCTTAATACGTGTGCAAATTTTCAATTTAATCAGACGTCTTGAAGTTGGTGAAAATTACGTTGAAAGATTGCGTTATTTTGGCGAATGCGCCGATCACACAACTTTGACATTCGCTTAGAAAAATGTTTTTTAAAAGAAATGCGTCGATACGCATTAAAATTATTGTATTATCATCGATCCTTAATACGTGTGCAAATTTTCAATTTAATCAGACGTCTTGAAGTTGGTGAAAATTACGTTGAAAGATTCCGTTACATAGATAGATACATACAGATGAAACTAATAAAAGCGTGTTAATAAGAGGTAAATCTTTGTAATTAGTTGTACTTAGTTTATTTCAAATTTATTTGCAACATAAAAAACGTCCGCTTCTTTGATCCTTTTGCCGTCGGCAAAGAAGCCGACGTTTTTTATGTTACAAATAAGTTTTAAATAAACTATACATTAAATGGCCACGGTAACCCAATCGCGCCGCTTTAATTCGTACGTTCAACAGTCTTTAATTATAATTAACCAAATATTGAAGTATACGGTATTCCCCAGAGACGGCTTTTACATTCATATTATTTTTCCATGGAAATTAAGTAAACTAAATAATATAATAATTACAATTAACACAAACATCTGAATGCGTTGTTATCTGCACGGCACGAGGCGACCATTTTATGCGGAAGGTTAGTTACATACGGAGATTCGACCTCGGGTACCTATTTATTTATTGAGCTATTGCTAATGTGTGACAGCTGTTAACTTTTGTGTATTTAAACTTTTTGATTTTCAACTAGTGGCACTGGAGGACCCATTCTCGGTAGTAACTATTTATATAGTTTTCTTTTAAATTAGGGGCGCATATATGATGTGTCTTCGGTAGTGACGATTTGTACAGTTTTTTTTTAAGTCAATGGCGCATATTTGGTAGTGACGATTTATACAGTTTTGTTTCTCTTTTAAATTTTGTCACATAAAGAATACATTGCTTTTATTTACTAACAATTTATATAATGGTGCGACGCCATTTGTAAAATAGAAACAAATGGGGAAATTGTGAATAATACAGGAATGAACAAACAAAACACTAAGGTGAGATACATTCAAGGTATGCATGTCGATAATCATACATTAAAAATATAGATCCCTAAAAAAAACAAAAAATAAAAAAAAAAAAAAAAAAAAAAAAAAAAAAAAAAAAAAAAAAAAAAAAAAAAAAAAAAAAAAAAAAAAAAAAAAAAAAAAAAAAAGGGGGGAAGGGGGGGGGGGGGGGGAGAAAAAACAAAAAAACACCCCCACCCCCCCCCCCCACAAAAAAAAAAAACAAAAAAAAAATTTTTTTTTTTTAAAAATAAAAAAAAAAAAAAAAATTAAATTTTTTTTTTTTTTTTTTTTTAAAAATATTTTTTTTATATTTTTTTTTTTGGGGGGGGGGGGGGGGGGGGGGGGGGGAAGTATTAAAAAAAAATAAAAAAAAAAGGGGGAAAGGAAAAAAAAAAAAAAAAAAAAAAAAAAAAAAAAAAAAAAAAAAAAAAAAAAAAAAAAAAAAAAGGGGAAGGAAAAAGGGCCGGGCGGCGGGCCGCGGGGGGGGGCGGGAAAACAAAACCCCACCACACAACCAACAAAAAAAGGAAGAAAGGAAAAAAAAAAAAAAAAAAAAAACCAAAAAAGACAGGGGGAGGGGGGGGGGGGGGGGGGGGGGGGGGAGCGAGAGGGGGAAAGGGAAAAAAAAAAAAAAAAAAAATGTTTTGGGGGGTGTGGGGGGGAGGGGAAGAAAGAAAAAAAAAAAGGGGGGGGGGGGGGGGGGGGGGGGGGGGGAGGGGGGGGAAAAAAAAAAAAAAAAAAAAGGGGGGGCGCAAAAAAGCGCGTTAAGTCCCTAAGCCGACCTGTCCTTTCGTCGGAAATACCAAATCCTGACCTGTCTTTTCGTCGGGAATACCAAATCTTCCGATGCATAATTAAAACATACAAATTTATTTAATACAATCGTTCTTTTTCTTGAGCTACAAAAACATTTATACCGTATATAGCTAACGGAGTGGTAGTAGGTAGTAATAATCTAGTCTTGATCTCAACATTTCGTCATTTCATTAAACATAATGTTCTGGGAGACAGTTCTGGAATCTCGGCTTTTAAAAATCTCCCACGCAAGCCACATAAATTGTTACGCATGGTTAAACGGATCTGAGAAATGGTCACACAAATATGTGGACTGTAAGTGATATACTACATTGTGATATATTGGAATTTTTTTCACTATTAACAACTGAACAAAATTTTCCGGTAATCATCGCACGCTAGCCAATTACGCAACCAAACCGGTATTAATGTATAAACAAATATTTTCTTTCTAATTCGCCCATTCCGACAATACCTGTATAGTCTGACAAATGTTCCACATTTACATTTTCCTCGTCAAACGCGCAGAATGTAGCTAGGATGGCCCTATCCTGTAAATCAGTGCAGTGCAAAACAAATGACCAGTGCAATGTGGAAAAAATTGGACTCTATATCTAATTATCTATGGTAGAGTTCAGCAAGGAGATTGGCGATAATTCTATGATAAATTGGATTGAATTCCAAATGGGACACTCGTTCTGGCAAAAAGATTATCACCAGATTTTATTAAGTAGGTGTAATATACTGATTAGATCGAAGATTTTAAAAATATATTCACTTTTTAAAGAAAAGGATTTGCAGCTAAAATAGTCATCTTGATATTCACAATGTTAAAACGTAAGTAATTACAAAATGTACGAAATAAGCAATAATTAATTAAAAATGCAATCAATCAAACTGGATGTGGGGCATTATGTGAACGTTCAGTCAACTGAGAGAAAAAAGGACCGATAGCATATTTTAGTAACCTTCATATCAACAGAGGAAATAATTGAACAGTAAGAAAATTATACCTTTCAATTAACTATAACTGTTTTTCTCATGTTACAAATATGCATTGTTGGATATATAGTTCAGTTTATTGCTTTTATGATTATTAAAAACCTTGTCACTCTAGATATCTAATAACAGTTTTTGTTCTACATATGTATATCAATAGTCATGCTAGTCCTCACCATAAAATTCTTTGAAACAAAAGTAGAACTATTTAACGTTTATAATAATAATTTAATCATGAAATTACCTACACGTTCCACTCTTTTTTAAATGTAATAATATTAAAATATGAGATATAATACTGATTGTAAGACTATTTTTTACTTAAAGGCTAATTACTTAAGACAACGTGACCGCGACATTACAAATATCAATATCGACGTCACAGAAAACTTCCCATAAAACAGGAAAAGCGACAGGTATTCAAGACTCTTACCCTCCATTTACTACAGGACGACAAATTGAAAAAATATGTTCAAGCAATGCTTTGATTTTATTCAATGTGGCTAGTAACCACCGAATACCTATATTCAATTGTCTCCTGTCTGAGATAGGTATGCCTACTTAAAATAATATATAAAATAGTGGACACACACAAACTAACACTCTAACGGATTAAGCAATTAGCAATAACATTATTTTGAATACAGGAACGCATAATTTAACAGAGATATGAACTATGGTATTTTTAAAATTGTGCGACACAATGTTATATCGTTAAGTAGGAACAACTAGAAAACAGTTGAACAAAAGCATGACATATAATTATTGTAATCTCTTTATACTTCAATAAACATATAACTTCTTGCCGTTCCTTGTACATTTTGGAAGAATTTTGAATGGTCTAACTCCGTTAGAACTGTGGGAAAAATCATACAAGATCCGTTTTTTTATTTTTGTTCCTACAACTTAAACTGAGAGTATTAATGGACAAAGAAAGACATAATCAACACCCTGTACAAGTAATCTGTGTCAGGAGCCGGCAACATCACATATGCGTGTTGTTTAATTTTCACCGTTTGATAACATCATATTAAAATGACTAAAGTCACCTTGGCGCAGAATTCAGCGAACAAGTTTAGCTGTCAAAACTTGTTTTAACCGAAGTAGTAGGAATACGCCGCTTCTATGACTCTGACTATCAACGCCCGGTCTCCATTATTATTATTATTATTGACCCTGGGGGCGTATAAGTGGACGGTCCTAAAACCTGGTACCTAGATATTAGTATCGGGAGGGAGGGAGCTCAGAGGCTTTTGGCTGATGGCATAGGACTTAGATGCTTTGGCCTATATCTGGGACGTAATCTGAGGCTGAAATTGCTGCTAGAGGCGTAGCTAGCACGACCAACGAGTTCAATAGCTACACCTCCAGTGACCATCTTATTGCTTTGACATAATTAATTACTTTTTTAAACGCTCTCATTTGTCGTGCTTACTACTAGCTACGCCTCTAGCAGCCATTTTAGCCCCCAGATCTAAGTCCACGGTATAGGCCAAAGGCTCTTAGCTCCTCCTTCTTAGCTACCATCTTAGATATGTCTATAGTTTTGGTCAAAATCTCCCCCTCTACCGATACTAAAATTTAAGTCCTATGCTATTAGCCAAAGCCTTTGAGCTGCCACTCCTCCGATACTAACATCTAGATCCCAGGTTCTAGGATCGCCCACGTACCCGTCCCCAGGGTCGATAATCATAATGGCGACCGGATGTTGGTAGTCAGTATCACAGAAGCGGCGTATCCCTACTACTTTTAATGTTTCGATATCGTTTTATTCCTACTACTTTTAATGTTTCGATATTCGTTTTATTTAGAAAACATTGATATTTAATAATAATAAACACCACACCACAGAAAATTGACAACACCTGAATCCAAAGATGTAGCTGCCTAGAAAGAGATAACTTAGAATAACGTGGACACACAACCTTTCACACCCACATTGCCAGAGCCGGTGGTGGGAATCGAACCCACAGTTACGATAATAAGATTTCTAGTCACACCTGCCATCGTGCGCTCTAGCCAACTACGCCACCAAGCCGGATTTTTATAAAAGAATATACTTACAAAACCATAACTTTTGGCCTGTTTAACAGATTCATGCCACATCATAATATTGGGGCTTGGATTCCATGCTCCATATTAAGATATGGCATAACTTAAATTTCACCAGCCGCCACTGACACAAATATTAACTTGATAACGTTTGTGTTAGAAAATTGTTAGAAAGGCGATGCTAGTTGTGGCAGTAGCTGAGCTTACTGGAGTTCCTTAAGGCCCAGGCCGTATATTCGTCACAGAAACAACAAGACTGTTTAATTATATTGTCTTTTCGAAGAAAAATATATAAATGCAGAAAAAAGTTTAACTTTGAACATCCTAGGTACCTAGTTACCACTACCCCCATTGACTTGTGCTCAGACTTTGGGTGTACTTTACATCTATTTTGTGCTTGATTATCATTGACTATTTAAGGGGCCTAGTCGGGAAAAAGCTTCGGATAGCTGTGTCACTCTCTAGAAAGTTTTTATACATGCGCCGCTGAATAATTTTGCTCTTGACTATACCTTCACTGGACGTTTTATTCACCGACTTTATTGAGGTGCGATTCCCGATAGAGGTAACACTTCGTTGCTCCACTTGTAGTGACAAAGATACTTATTTAGAAAATTCTTTTTAACCAAATGGTACGGAATAAAAGTTTGAAACTTGCTGAGCATAATTATGAAGATTCATTCTAGACGACATGTATGAATTTTACCTCGAATTTTACCGATTGATATCATAATTCAGGAGCTAATCACGTCCAAATTTAACTTATATTTACAGTATAAATTTTCCCTACATAAAGTGAAAATTAATTAAAATAGATATACATGTACCCTCTAGTACACTTTCAACAACTGATCCTCCAAATTTGGTGTAATTTGACCAAACCGTATGGAAGAAATAAATTTTGAAAAATTACCTTACAAACCTGGTTCGATTAGCCCTCTTAAACAGCTACACATTTTTTCCATTTTATAATGGTAGCCCGTTATTTTTAGGTTAATGAAAAACATTATATTTTAAACATAAAATATGGTGGCGCCCAAATAATAAATAAAGTTGATTTTACGTTTTTGTACCATTTGTATAGGCGATTGCCTAGTTCTCATTTTGTCTAGTTATAAGTTGATTTGATTTATTTGGTTAACAATTTTGCTTCCCCGCCCAGAGAAGAGAGTCGTAAATATTGCTTATTTTGAATAAATGTATTTTGCTATTGAAATTGTTTCATTCAATAAAATGTAATGTAACTATTTTAATGATAGGGTGACGGACGTTAGAGTATGAAAATTTAACATACCTAAAATTTGGGTACAGTTTATATTGTTATAAATTATCTTGTGCAAAAAAATCAGAATTTGCGAGCAGTTCGAATTGAGGGAAGCAGGATATTCCCCATCTGCTCTAAACTTGGCATATTTTAAAAATGTGCCCTGAATTCCTTCCAAATTAGCAATATATGTAGCATAATTAGGACACAATATGGTTGACGCATATTCTGAATTACAGCGGACAAAGGTGGTATATAGTAGTTCAGTGTATACACATTATGTAAGTTACGGCTATTTCTAATAATAAATCCTAGAGCTTTGTACGTCTTTGTGACAATATAAATAATGTCCTCGACAAAAATTAAATTTTGTTGTAGTTCAAGTCACCAATACTTGCAACTCTGCAAAAAATGTTCAAATCATCAGCATATAACCGGCATAAAACTGTTAGACTATCAACAATATCATTGATAAATAAAACAAAAAAAGAGGTCCTATTATCGATCCCTGGGGACCGCCCGAAGTAGCAGATACTTCGACAGAATTGCAACAACGACATACTACATGTTGTACCCTATTTGAAAAATAAGATTTTAGAAACGTCAGGAAGTCTTGAGAGAAACCAAAATTAATCAACTTATTTAATAGTATACCATAGTCAATTCTGTCTAAGGCCTTCGAGAAATCGGCATAAATCACGTCGGCTTGAAATTCCTCATCGATGGCATCAGTTAAAAATTCTGCAATACAAAATAAGTTTGTTATAGTTGATTTGCCTTTAAAAGAACCATGTTGAGCCTCTGTGATCAAGTGTTTGCAATGAGATAATTTTACTTAAAAAAATAAAAATTAATCTCGTTCAATAAAGTAAACCATAACAGATTACAGCAATAGAGTCTGAAAGATTTCAGCGACCACCATGTAAGGAATATTTACTAAGGAAATACCTTAGCGTACCGAAACTCGTCAACAATTACAATGAATGAAAAGGAAATTTCACAATAGACAACCAATTAATGTCGTTGTAGCCTTTAATTGTGTCACGGCATTTGTACCTAGCAATTATAGCAGATAATTAATCAAGGAATTGAGCGAGCTTTACAAGAGTTCCTTAAAAAATCGTACCTTGAAAACTTTCCTGTTTACACCTTTGTAGTAGACATTTCAAAGAACGCACAGAAAGGCACAGGTGGATTCTTCTTTAATTAAATTACAATTAGTCCATTAGTTTCTGATATATGTAATGTTTTCATTCTTCTGAACGCCTAAAAGAATTACACGCGCCCGTTTCATTAACGTGAGTTGCAATTTTTAAACTAAATGAATTGGAAAAATTTTAATTAATTTTTCATACAAAAAATTAATAACAAATGAATTACAGGAATTATATGAATTATTACTACTCATACCGGGGGACAATATCATTGCTTTTTTTTACAAACGGGCGTATATTAGCAGTTTCTCAAGAGACAAAATAAATTACCAACATACTTTGATTTGACTTTAATTTTCGTTTACGTCCACAGGCAGGGTAACTATACTTTCTAAAGTACTCAGCTTTAACATACGTCTCTTTGTGGGGTATTTAAAAAGAATTTTAGATATAATTTGCAATATCTACCTCAAAATGACCATTTTTTTAGTTACGTCCCTTTGTAAGATAAGCAACGATTTATCGTCATTATTGGACTTACAAGCCATTATAGCGACAAACGCAGACAACACATTTAATATTACACACTAATAATTAAACTTCGGAAGATCTGGTATTCCCACAGAGACAGACTTTAAATTCATATTATTTTTCCATAGAAATTAAATAAACAAAATGATGTAATTGTACTTACAATATAAATATGCATACTAATAATACAAACTCCTGTATCCCTAAAGTAACCGTGTAAGAGGGGCTACACATTTGGAGACAACGGACACACACCCAATATCAATAGCAAAGCCCTGAAATGGGCGCCAGTTCCGCTAGCATCCGAGGTTAACACCTGCTCTAAAGTGTATTCCCTATAAGCGCGAAGTAATGGAATGCGGCACTTACACACGTGCGTCTGAAATTAGTTTTGTCCAGGCTAATTATTTTAAATATTATTACAATAATAAATATCACAGAAATTGGACAACTCCCGAAATCCAAAGCCGATGATGTCTAGAAGGGGGTTTACAGACAAATGTGGACATACAACCATTCCCACTGACACTACCAGTGCCGGTGGCAGGATTTGAACCTGCAGCTATGGTAGAAAGTTTTCTAGTCACACTTTTCATCGCACGCTCTAGCCAATTACACCACCAAGTCAGTCTTCTGCTGTTTATTCTGATATGAGGCTAAGCCAACCCACTCAAATCCAGACTTATAGTGTTTCTGACATTTATAGTTAACAGATAGATTCAAGCAAGCTTTTCTGCGGAACTTCGCGCTTATTGTTATTATTCATTTCTTATTGAAAAGAGATGACAGTTGCTGCCGCTCTGGAAGACTCGCTTCACCATAACAGGTGCACAGCGGGTCACGACAGAGCAGGTGGGATTTAGTATGGGAGTTTTCCAAGGTGACTCACAAAGTCCTCTCCTCTTCCGCATCTCACTGTTACCGTTGTCTGTTGAGCTCCGCCAAACCTGCGGATATCAATGTGGACCACCTAGCGACCGGAGGCATAAGGTCACCCATCTATTTTATATGAATGACCTTAAACTTTATACCTCTGGAGAGCGCGAACACAAAACGCTCTTAGGGTAGTCTAAGAATACACCCAGCAATTGGTATGGAGTCCAGGTGGACGACTACACATTTCGTCCCGTCATTTCGAGGTTACGAGAGGACCATGCGGGGGAATTCTCTGAAGATGCGCAGCTCGCAGACAGAAGCTTCCTAAGTCAACTGGATGCCGGAGAGACCTATACATATCTGAGTGTGCAACAAAGGCACATCCAGGATATAAAACAAATCATTCTAATTCTCTCCGCAGCAAGTACAGACACCGTCTCCGAATTTTCAGGGAAGAACAAGGTGTCTGCGACTAATATGCTTGCAGCTCCGGTTCTGCTCTACTCCTTCGAAGTACTGAAGTGGACAGTAGACGATTAGACAGAGATACCCGCAAGATGATGAATATTCACAGAAGTATTCATCCTAGATCGTTCGTTCCTCGTATGTACCTCCCACGTCAATGGGGGGGGGGCGAGGACTCTTGAGCCCGGAGTATACGAATGGCAGAGTAGTACTGAGTATCCTCAGGAGCTCAGATCCCTCCTACAGTTTGTAAAACATCACGAAACTGTAATGTGGGAGTAGGATTGTTCAAGGCAACAAAAAGAGCAGCAGATGAACTCGGTCTCGTATTCGACACCAGGCGAGGTGGCCGACGAGGTACTGATGTAGAGTCAGTCACTGAACTTCTGCCAGATCGCCTGAATTAGAACTGCCGAACAGGAAAATCTGTTTTGGCAGCACGTCGATAAACCCCAGCATGGTGTCTGCTATTAGAACAGAGAAACACTGGGTTTGTTGACCAAGCTGACATTCGCCTTTCAAAGGACAGCCGGTCTTAAGTCGGAGACCGAAAGATTCATTATGGCCTGTCAAGATGATATCAACACCTTGGTCTACCGCAGCCGCGTGTGGTGTGTAGAGGTTCCCGACATCAACTCCAGGACCTGCCGTCAGGCGCCGGAATCGCTCATGCACATACTATCTGCATGCACCGTA